AAAAATTCATATGCTGAGGGTGTTGCTTTAGCTCTGACTGATTTTCACAGCAGACAGTTCTCCTCTAGCTATTTGGAGATGGTCTACACCTGGCATGGGGGCACGTGTGATATTGAGTGTCAGCTCCAAATATTTAGTGAAGAAAAAGAGGCGTGTGCCAGAATAAGACATGTATTTCCATTTCATCTTCGTTCCTAGGGCTGTGCCTGTTACTGCCTCAGGAGAATGTTGCACCAGGAGCTGGCTTTAAATACTGAAAATGACACTTCTTCCAAAGAGTAAAACAGCTTTACTGTACTATGAAGAGCAGAACTCCCCTCTCAGAAAACTCAAAACATACTGCAAATACAAGGTGACCTTGGGTGGAGGAAAAGCTGATGTTAGCAAAACCAGTTGGGAAGAACAGAGGTCACTTAGGAGTGACTCAGATGTTCCAGCTTTGTGCCACCAGTAGCTATAAATAGAGGAAGGTGCTGACAATTATTTTAAAAACACTTCTGTAAAAAGAAAAATAACTACTGGCATACAATTAAGGAGTTCAGTTCTATTGAAAACCATGAATGATAGGAGAAAAGGGAATGTCAATATACAGCTTTTAAAAGCTCAAATGCTCTGAATGTGGGGAACGTTCTATTCTATTGCAGATTTTGTTTTGCCTTAAGGTGTGAAAGGAAGTGAGGCTAGAATTCATTTCAGAAATAGATTAAGTGGACACCAAAGGATATTTAAGTTTCAGAAGGGAAATAAGGGTTATCGATGAACTGTAGCTAAGATCACAAGCTCCTTATCTGCAAAGAGAAAGAACCTGCGATAAGCTGCAGGACAAAACAGAATTCATTTTAAAGATAAAATACAGAAACTGCTGGGCTAAGATGAGCCTTCCTCCCTCCCTCTTTAGACTGACACTCTGTTGCTCCCTATGATTTTCCTGAAACAGAATAATCATCTGCTGTTAGCAAAACCTAAGGTTGCGATTTTCAACCTTTAGACTGCACTGAAGAATCTACTGAAGGGATTGCTAAAATATAGTTCTTTTTCTCCTCCTGAAAATGCTGACAAAGTAAGTCTGGGTGGGGCCTAGGAAGATTGTGCATCTTAACAAGCAGCCCTCAGTAAATGTTACAAGGGGTCCATAATCCAAACTATTTCTATTGCTGTAGTCCTCTAACTACAGATTGAGACTTATTTTTGTATTGTGTGTAGTTTTTTTTTGGTACTGGGGATTGAACCTATGCGTGCTTTACTACTCACTGAGCCATATCCCCAATCCTTTTTATTTTGAGACAAGATCTTACTAAGGGGCAGAGGGTTTCACTAAATTGATAAGGACTTTCGAACTTGTGATCCTTCTGCCTCGGCCTCCTGAGTCTCTGATATTACAGGCATGTGCCACCATGCCTGGCCAAGTTGAGATTTGATGAATAAGTCCTGAAATCATCTTAATGCAATTAGCATTTGAAAAGAAACCAAAAATGTCAGTGTATACTGTGCAGCAAGTTTTTGGATTCATTCATTCATATATTAGTGTGGGCGTAAGGGTGTGTTGAATTAATGAATACAACGTATTTCAGACTGCATCTCAGCTGAGAAAGTTGGAGAAGCAGTGGCCTATGGGGATTTAGCATCACTTCCCTGGACTCTCTCTCACTCTGATACTAAGTGCCAATCCAAACCAACTTCCTCTTTCCTCCTACTTCTATGTAGTTGGAAGGATAACAACTAGTTTTTCCTTTACTTTCAGGATGAATGTGGATGACTTGAAGAAAAGCTTGCCAGACTCTGGTACAGCATCAGAAATAGATGACAGGAAATGAACAAAAACCATTTACAACTGGGGAACTTCCAAAGGTCTGAAGAGAGAAAAAGAATGGAGGGAAAGGGTGGGTAGACAATGAGGAGCAAAGAAAGGAGAGCAAAATGAGACATGAGAAACTGGTAGATAAGCCAATACTTCATTCCTTCTTTACAATGATGGTATTAGTGACCCACTCCACTCCTGTCCCCAGGAAATAAAGTGGTTTCAGCTTTTATCCCCACTCTTTTTACTTTATAGCAATGCAAGGGGTCCTTGTTCATTCATTCAGGTAATCCAACTTCTAGGGAAAATAATATATTTGCAGGCGCTGGCCTGGATATGAACAGGTCCAAAGCTTAATCACATGGCAAACAGAAACTCAGCAACAGAGTGAGCACCATGCATGGTTAGAATGGTGTGCTGTTTATCCCACCTGGCCTGCCCATTCTGGCCTTTGCAGATCTGTAGGAACTCTTCCACCAGATCTGCTTAGGACAGTTTACAATGGGGCTTTGGGGACTGAAAGCCAGTCCTCATTCTGATTGCCAACCTAGGCACTCTGGCTTGAGCTATCTTCATCTTGAGGAAGGGACATTTTCTAATTCCCTAGCCCTCTCTCCATGACACCACCCCAAGGTGTCTTTCCCTAATTTTCACAAAGGTTTATGACAGTCTAGCAACATCCCAAAGAATCAATAACTCTATTCCAACAAGAAGTCACTGTGCCTTTTCACGATGTTGGGTAATCTTTCGGTGTTCAAAAGACCCAGGCACAATTAACAGTCTTGGCTGTGAGCTCCGAATCTTATCTAATGATGGTTGCTCTCCTTCTCAAGCACTTCGGCATTGGAAGATGGTAAGCAACAAACACCTTGGATGCAAGCCCAACCAGAGTAACAAATTCACTTTAGAAAGAAGATACTCGAGATGTGGGCATAAACCACTCCAATAAGTCCATAGTTTTAGGCCCCAGGCTCCTCAGTTTCTTCACTTAACTAGGAAATGTTAGGTCTTATTAATTCTAGGACACCATTTATTTTTGAGAGTCTTGTTTTCTTGGGAATCAGTTTAGAAAAAAAGTGAAATTACATGGGAAATGCACGTATTGCTGCTATTTAGGACAAAGGACTGAAGTGAAGGGGGGGAAGCATGTCATTTCTTCACGCTGACTCATCTATGTCTGTGATGTTGTAGCCTCCCACTCACAAACTGCTACACAGATATCCCAATGAGTCCATCCACTTCCGCTCATCATGTCAATAAGTGGATAATACATTTTTTCCTTTTGAACAAGATGTATTTTTTAGTATAGCTACTTAAAAATAAAAACTATAATAACTTGCACATCCAATTCATTGTCATTATCTCTACTAAATGCTTTCAGCACAGGTGGGATAGGAGACAGATCTTTTGTATTCCTGGCCATCAATAATTGTCCTTTGAGCAGACAGCCTTACTCCAGGATGAAAAACAACAATAAAAAGAAAAACGACTATTTTGTACTTGTTATTTCCTTTTCCTATAAATAGGGATAATAAATATCTCTTAAAGGAGAGGGCTATTGTGAGGGCTAAAAGTATACAATATGTACATAGCCCTTTGTAGGAACTCAAAACATGTTGGCATTCTTTCTCTTTGGCCTGAAGGAGGATGGGTTATCAAGAATGCTCTTCTCTGCATGTGTAGAAATTGAGAGGAGAGAAAATCAGGAGGGGCCAGCCCTCTTGGCATAGCAGAATTAGCACTGAATATGTGGCTTCCACAGCCTAATGGTGTGCCTCAATTAGCATATCAGGATATGTGACTTACCAAGCCAACGTAACTATTGCGTGGTAAACAGGTGAACGAGCTATCTTGCTGTATGGGGCTGACCCAGGTTTCCCTTTCTAAAATGCCAGAGACATTTTTGCTTTTCTGTAAGTCTAATTTTCTCCTGATGCTCAGAGCTCCAATTCTAGACTCTGAACATGTGGGAAGATATACATTCCCTCAATGTACCACCTTGGATATCCCTATGCACATGCTTCTTTCTGTGTTAGGAACGCCTCCCTCCTCCGCCTCTTTCTCCACGTGGTCAACACCTACTTGTAGATGCCTTTCTTGTCCCCTTTACAGTCAATTAGGGTTCACCTTCTGCACTCCCAGGCTGCTCTGACTTGTTCTACCACTGTACTTATCCCATTATCTCCCCACTGTTTTCAAGATTGTCTTCCCACTCAGCTTCATGCTCCCTGAGGATTTGCAATACATTCTTTTAGTGAATGAATGCCCAATTTATGTATTAAATGAATGAATGAGTGTGTGGTGAAAGAACGGACCCAGGATTGGAACTCAACTTCCATACTATCCTTTTTCTTTTACGATATCCTTTTTGTCTACTATAAAATAAATAGACAGATTTTTGGGGGTGGTTAGGGAAACCGAAGTCTTAAGAGGAAAAGGGGAGTAGAGGCCTGTTGTCTACTTTCAATCTGACCTTATCTGTTCTTCTGGGTAAGATGAATGACGAATCTTCGGTTAATAGATTATTAATTAAGGGAGAGTCTTGGTTCTCAGAAAAGTGGGGGCGAGATTATTACTATTTTATACATTCTAGTGTTTTAACAAATTTAAAGCACTATCTCTAGAAAGGAAGCCAAAGACACCTCCTGAACACAGCTCTCCTCAGCCAGGCTCCCATAGACATTGATACATATGTCTTGTCTGAACTCTGCCAACAGCTCTGGATTCAGCTCTGAGTGAACAGTGAAGCAACTGTCATAGTTAGAGATGGAACATCACCAGGGCCCACCCTGTCCTGGCCCAAGAGAACTTCCTTACCATCTACTCTAAGTCTGTACTTGAGGTTTTAAGCTGGAACCCCTTTTCAGAGAAGCTATGAGTGTATGATTCCTTCCCCTCTTCTCATGAGGTTGGAATAATATACTAATAATAGCTCCGTGTGATATTGGAGCCTCACATTTTCATAAGATTTTGAACATAAATACATTTCTGACACCTACACTGCTTGAAAGCAAATCTTCCTTGCTTTTAAGAATAACTTTGTAGGGATCATGTTTTGAGATAGACCAAAGCCTCTGGAGATCTGCCTTTGGGCTCTGGTTTGTCTCCTTGACTAAGCCCATGGAGAGGGCTGCCCTATGTCTGCACCACACTGTGAAAAACTAAATTTGACCCCCCGGGAAAGAGAAGAAAGCTTCCTGACCTTGTGCAGCTCCACAGGAGTTGGGGACATAATCTCCTTTATTTCTTGCTTCATTTTTCTCAGGGTCACAGACTTCCTGCCCACATCTGAAGGCAGGGTGTTGCTCCGAGTTGTTTGGCTGTAGTGTGGCCGTGAGCTGCTCCGTTCCTGGAAGCTGGCCTGTCGCCCCAGCTGGCTGCGAGGTGTTGGAGCCTCGTGATTCAGACTCATAGTGCTCCCCGACATGATTGTTGCCTGTGGCATTGACAATTTTCAGAAATAATTAAGCCATGGGTGAGGAAAGGGTTTGGTTGCTCAACGTTAAGCATGATTGTCCTTCTTCCCAGTCAAAATACATTCTCTTCAGGGCAGAGGCAAAGGCTGGAGAATGGACATACTAATTGAACTATGAAAGTCTGGAAAATGCTTTTCAAGTGACATTTGTAATGCCCTTTTAAAATCCAATGTAAGTACTTAAGCCTGTGTTTATTTAATCAAATACCACCCCTAGCAGTTTAAAAACAACATTTGCTTACTGCAAACTGCATTTTAAGCATTAGCTTTCCAGTGAGTGGGCTCTTGTAGAAATAAGCTAAGAACCTCTCAATGGGAACCAGGCTGCTTTCTAGCTCCAACTGGAGTTAACAAGGGGTTAGAATGGGATTATGGGTACACAGGCAGTGTATCCTCAAGCTTCCCACCTAGCACTATATATTGTCTGTCAAGTGCCTCATCCTAGAAGTAAGACTAGGTTGACCTCTACATCATTTGATATAGATCAGTGTTTCTTAGAAATGGTCTGTGCAAGATCTGCAGAGGATAATCATTTTTTTTATGTTATTGAATTCAACCCTTTGTTCAAAAGCTATGCAACTTGGATTGGATTTTACCAGTGAATTAGGAAGTTTGTTTAGTTTCAAATATATTTCCTGCATAATACTAAGCAAGGATAATATTAGATCCCAAAGATGACTGAGTCTCAGAACTGGAACAAAAGAGAATATAAAACCAGTATCATGTTGGGAATGTTCATTTCTCATGATAAGAAGATGCTAAGATTCTAAAAATATGACTGTAGCCAGCTTTGTACTCCTAGATAAGATGGATACATAGAGGTAAACTAGCACTGGTAAATATGCCTATAATCATGGAAATGGAAAACAAGTTCACTGTGTTATGTGACTGGCTAAAGCTTGATTTATTTATATTCATAGCAATGCAGAATTTAATTTGATGAGTCCTTGGAATGTACTCACTCATGCAGGTCTTACAACAACTCTATGAGGTAGGCTCTCTTACTCCTCCTGATTTACAGGTGAGGGACTGGGACTCAAAAAGGCTGACTTACTCCAGGTCACATGGGCAATCTTAGAGCAGAGGGCACTATCTAAACCTATTTACCAAAGGGAATACTGCAAAGTGAGGGGTATTTTCATTTGCCAGCTCTCTAGGATGCATGCATTACTAATAAGACATGTATATGTATCCAACAACTATGTTGAAACAGAAACAATACCAGCAAACTTATTGATATTCTGACTGGATGAGTTATCTCACTGATAATTTTGAAAAGGAAAATTATAACTTAAAAAACTTTTTGCAGATCATTGAACATTAGCCCATGCTAAGTGCCCTATACATTATGTGCTGATCACCATTTAATACTTAAGTAACCCTATAGGGTAGGTATTATAATTATTATGCCTCCCCATTTGCAATAAGGAAAGAGATGCCTGAAAGAGTTAAGCAATTTCCCTGTCAGACTGGGCTTGGAATCCCAGCAATATGGCTCCAGAATCTTTGGTGACCTGGGTGAGTTGCTTCACAGTCCAGCATTAACCATATAAAATGTTTTTGTATATTGAAGTTCTGGGGATTGAACCCAAGCCCTTGAGGATGCTATAAGTGTTCTACCACTAAGCTACATCGCCAGCCCCAACTTCCTTTTTAGTAGGTAAAAAGGCCCTTAACATTTAACAAGTGTAGACATCCATTTTATAGTTTATTTCAGATAGATACCTTTCTAAAATTTATGGAAACCTTTCCATGGCCAGCTGTGTTGGTGTTATGGGACATCCTTTATTTTCTGGCACTTACATATATCATTTCTGTGTTTAATCCACTCTAACTGACAGTACTCGATGATTGTTTTCCTGTTGTGGTGACCATTCATCTATTATTTTTACCTACTTAGACTAGTTATTTGCTTTGTTTATATATATATATATATATATATATATATATATATATATATATATATATTTTTTTTTTTTTTTTTTTTTTTACATTGATTTTTCACAGGACTAGCAGGAAACATTTTGGAAGTATAACACTTAATCACTACATCTGGGAGATGACAGTTCTGCTTTGATGAGTCCCAGCTGCCACAGAAGTTACAAATGGATTTCAAAGAGTTCCAATGGAAGAAATGAGATGCTAATAGTTCTTCAGTTCAAGTTTTCAAAACATGGCTTGATTGCTTTGTTTAAAGTGAGTTTCAAAAAAAATAAAATAAAATAAAGTGAGTTTCAGGTAAATTAGTATCATCCAAAAAGGAATAAAAAAGTTAAAGTACATTGTAACTTAGATTCTGACATTTAGTTTTAAACCTTCTTCCTTCATAATATTAAAAAAAGAGCAGTGCTCATTAATCAAGAAATGGCAAACATAATTATAGTTAATTTTTACTTAACATTTGTTAAGTTCTATGTTCTTAAGTACCGTAGTATTAGCTTATTCTAATCTCCATATTTTATAGAAGGAATATCTGATAAGAGATGTTGAAAATTTGCTCAGTCTCAGTTTGAATTTTTCTTTTTTGGTAAAAGCTATACATTTTTCAGTGCTAAATTTGGACCTAAATTATTGCTATCAATAGAGAAATGATTAGTAAATTGATTGACTTTAATTTTCAAGTCAATTGAGATCATTTTTTATCTTAGTTAATTTAAACTTTTTAGTGCTATAGTATACTTTAACTTTCAAAATTGGATGCAAATTTCACATGCAGGAATCTAGCTCCAATAATATATATTTTTTATAACAGCATTTTCAGTTAAGGGAATGGTGTTCATTTAAACTAGCAAGTGAATATTCTTTGTGGTAAAAGTATAAATATGACTCTAATTTGTGAACTTGTCAATCATTCTGACTAGCCAAAGATTTAATTTCTCTTTAGCATTCAGTCCATTTTCTTTCTGCATATGTAATTTCAAGGGCCACACCTGCAAGGAATTATGTTAGAAAGAATGTCATGATGTGACTTCTATGCTAATGGATGTTGTTTTCATGAGATAACTCAATTTCTGGGGGAAAACACAACCTCATCACATTACTTTTAATATCATCTTCTTTTTGCCTAACATAAAAGAAGCAAGGAGAAGAATAGTTTGTTTTTCGGAAGAGAAGTATCGAAATGAAAAATGAAAAAGGCAAAGGAGACAAACATGCTTTTTGAAAGAAGAGAACAGTCAAGAATTATGAATTGAAGTGTGACTATTGTCAATTTCTTGCTCACTTTGGGCCACTCTGACTCATTATTCTACATACAGGAGGTGGTAAATGTTCAAATAAACTAGCTGAAACTTAAGCATCCTGTTTTTTTTTTTAATTGTATAAAAAGAAATCAATTGCTCATGTCTCGATTCATTTAAATTATATAGAATTATCCATATCCAGGTCCTTTAACTGTGCTCTGAAGCTGAAATTCATGCCAGGTAATACAATGATGTTTATAAATTCAAACTAATGTTTTTCTTTATAATTCTCTTTGCAGATTCACAAACATTAGAATCACATAAAATATCCACACATGCAATTGAGAAGCAAAATAATATAAAGATGAGTAATCATTTTAGAATTGCAAGAGTTTCACCCAGTTATGCCATTCACATTCCTTATGGTGACTTGGGAACCTCATGTGACATCAAAATAAAAATGAGACTTTGCCACTTATTTTTTTTTAAACAGCTTAGAAAATTTAAAAGAACATAAAAGGAAATAGTCCAGGACTTCCCAGACTAAAGTGTGAATACTGTCAGCAAATTCATGGCTTTGATTACAGAACAGTCAGGAGTTCAGCTGTTCCACTCCGTCTTGTTCACTTGAAGTTAATATGGAATCAGAATTTGCAATTAACACAAAGTACTCTGTAATATTTTGCCTGCTTATCAAATAGAGCGGCCTTTTTTCGCCAGCTGCATTATTATCTCCTTTAAAGGCAAAACAAGATAGAATAAAATTTCCTCTTATGTTCCTCTTGACGATCAAATTAACTTCTATACCAGGTACAAATGAAAACATGCCAAAGAAACCTTTCTAAAGCAACTAAGAGAATGAGATGCGCCACTGCCGGGAGACTTAGCTCGCTCCTTAGCCATTTGGTAGGGAACAGTCAGGGTTAGCAGGGAGCAATGGCAGAAGCCACAAGTCAGTAAGCTTGGGTGGGAACAGGAAATAATACTTTCAACTGCATCATATAAAATCAAATTGCTGTCCAGAAGGCAAGGAGGCAGGGGAGGCAGCTTCACAAGCAAAAATATAAACATAAAGGGTAGCTACCAAGAGAGTCATGTTTCTCAAAGACACACGCCTGTCAGCTTTCTCCTGTGGAAAGGGGTTAAAGCTTTTAAATGAACTGGTGTGATCAGTGCAAACTTAAAAGGACCAAAAAATGAATGTAGAAACAATAAAAGCAAATAGCAGGACCGAGGCTACCTCGAGTTCTCGCAGAATTCCCGACTGTCCACAGGTTTCTAAATCCTCCAGCGCTTGAGACCAGAAGTTCTCCTCTTGCTCAGCCTCTGCACAGTCGGAAGTCCCTGCAAAACTGTCACCATGAAACACAGTCAGGGTTATGAATTTACCAAACATAATTTTTTCTCCATATACAGAACATTTCTCTTTTACCTCAAATGCACAAAAAACAAAAATAAAAATAAGAGAGAGAGAGAGAGAGAGAGAGAGAGAGAGAGAGAGAGAGAGACTTTCATTTGGATATGGCTTTCTTTTAACTGTGGCCTCTGAGTAAAGCCAGCTTGGGTGTAAGGATATTTAGGAAATGCAAAGTGTCATAAAGAATAAAAGATTGGTCCATGTTTTATCTCTGACTTGCAGATTATTCGTAGCTACTGCTAAATGAGCTGCATTATTGACATAGCCCTGTTGGAATAGAGCTCAACATGGGTGCATATCTTAGCTGATTCAATCCCCAGTACAGAAAAACATAAAAATCAATAAGAAATGAGAAGGAGTAACACACAAACTGAGGACGTAGTTTATAAAAGTTGACTTCCAGAGCCAGAGACAGTGGTGCACACCCGTAATCCCAGCTACTCAGGAGGCTAAGGCAGGAAGATAGTGAATTTGAGGCCAGCCTCATCAACTTAGTGAGACCCTGTCTCAAAAAAGAAAACACACACACATACACACACACACCTACACACACACACAAAACTGGTGACTTACCCCAGTGCTACCACTGTTTTCATTGGAGGAAACCTAGCTGTTGTGTTGCATGGTGGTGCCAGGCTGTCACTAGTCAGGCACAAGTTTTAGAACCTGCCTTATGGCCACCATGGATGATTATGGTAGCTTCAGGAAGTCAATGGTAACAGTATGTGCCACGGCAAATTGAGAACTTCAAATCTTACCCAAATAACTGACCACAAAGTGATCTTAGATGGGGCAGCAGTGGATGGAAACCTTACCCACTGGTTGTGGAACGGTCCCACTCTTCATTATTCAGGCCCACATCTGGGTAAGTCTGGCTTCGAGGTTTGGGGACTGGGGATAAGCTTCCTCTCTGTTTTGGACTCCTCCAGTCATAGGTGTTGAAATTGTATCCTGAGGCCTGAAAACTGGTGCCTAAAATATAAACAAAGTGTTAAGACGGGGCCTGGAGATTATTTACCCCATCAAGAAAAGACCTCATCCATGAGCAGAGAGGTGGCACAAGGCAATAGCAACAGCAGCAACAACCTTGAGCATACAGTGGTGCTTATCATGTACAAAGTGCTCTGTGCACCTTCTTTAATCTTCAGAGCCAACTTTGAAGATAGGTACTATTGTTATTGTGTTTTATAGCTGATACCAAAGGGTTAGAATAGCCACATCAGGTATCCAAGGTGACTTGCCGACTTTCCTGGGGGTTCAAGCCATAACTTTAGGAGAATCAATCTTCAGATCCCCAAGTTCCATAAGCACTTCTTCCCCAGCTGACATAGCTGATACCATGCCAGTTCCTCCATCTCACTTCCCCTCTCTTAATTGCTCTTTGTCACGTTACAAATGAAAAACACATTTATCATCCATTTCAAACCTTTGAAGGTGCTTGGCTTGGGGGATAAAAAAAACCCTCCAGCTGCTAAATCAAGGAATAATCTAGAAAAACACTCATTCCTATGAGCAGGTCTTTTAGAACCTAGGTCTTATTTTAACCAGGCAAACGCATGGCAAAGGTTTTTACTCCTTTTTCATCCATCTCTCTGTCTCTCAGGACTGTAGTTCAGAAGTAAGATGCCAGCCTGAGAAGATTGGTGCATCAGTGTTTATTTGAATTGCAAAATGAAGACTGACTTCTTTGTTACAGGAATTAAGTCTGATTAGCTTGGTGGGTAAGGGAGTGAGGGATGGTTCTGGCAATTGGATTACATAATGGACATTTCCCATGAGTTTGAGTTAAGGCAGTGGCTTCAAGCTTTTGACAGAAATATATTTAAAGCTTATTTACAACAAACTAGAAATTACATTTAAATTGGAGGAGAAAAAAAATGTTGATGATAACTTTATGTGTCAGGGTATGAAGTTTTCCCAAAATTCTTCTGTGGGTTCAAGTGCGACAATAGAAACTTGACTCTAAGTCTGACTCCACAGTCATCACAATTGCTTCGCCCACCACTTTGGGTTGTGATGTATGTGTGTGTGTTGTGTATGTGTTTACATGTGTGCAATACAAGGCATATACATTGAAATGCTTCAAGCATTTAATATAGCCAACAGGCCTGGGCCCCTGTTTTCACATACAGTTAAATGGCCTGCTCATGTAAGAGGACTGTCTCCATTGACATCCTTGCTGCATCTTCCCATTCAGTTTCCCTCCACTGAGGTCACAACCTATGATGCTCCTCTGGCTGCTAAGTAGAGACCAGGGAAAGCAGGATGTCTAGGCATAGTGCTCCCTGATCAAAACACTGGATCTTAAGAAATTAGGGCAAGTCCCAATACCCACTGATGGAAATCCTCTATGAACCTTCTGCTTCCAGTCCTTAGAGCAAGGGAAACATAGTAACAGTGGCCCACATTATGCTTTGAATATAGCCCTTGCTGCTCTCTCACTGCAATTTATTTTTAAAATGGATGTGTTTCTTTCTCTTCCTCCCTCCCTGCTCCTCCCTAATCTCCCCTGCCCTAATCTCAGGGGAAACAGGATTACCTTTCTTCCTCATTTTAGGCAGATTTAACCCACCACAGGAAGGAAGTAATCCAGACTTTGGGATGGTAGTGGACCATCTCAGAAGTAACTGTCTCCCAAATTAATAAGTTAATTACAACTCCAACAGAGAACACGTGGAAGGTAACCTTTGAATCATGTCTTTAATAGCCTGCTGATGGGCAGAATCACAGCCGCTGGGACAGGAGTTCCCTGTATTTCTCCTTTGCTAGCAAAGCAATGAACCTTCCTTTTCTTTTTTCTCAAACTCATGTCTGCATTATTGGATTGGCATTGGGGACAAGGACCAAGCTTTCAGCAACACTATTAACAGTTCACTATCTCATTCTCTTGGATAACTGCAGAAGTATGGCTAGTCATTTTTATAACCCCCTTTGAGGGGCTATTCATTTTCTCATTCCAAACCAAACCAACCAGCCCCTCGTATGCAAAGTCTCATTTCTTCTTATACAAAAGGCAGAGACTAGTACTCCACTTTCTTTAACTGGCTTTAAACTCATTAAGAACCAAACTCATTGGTGGTGTCCTCTCGGGGGTCTTCTTTTCAGATAAGCATTAACCTGTAAGACTGTTAGGTTCTCTTAGGGAATTCCAACATGTTTTAGACTGGGCAGAATAATATTCTGATGTTCTTCCCATTATTTCTAAGTAGTTCTTGGTGATTTGGGTGGGAGTAAGAGGATGGGCTTGAGCAGATGTGCAGCCCCATCTGTAGGAGTGCAGACCAGGAAAGGCACATGCATCCCTAGCAGCCATGTTTACATTTGGGTTTTTTTTTTTGTACTGGGGATTGAACTCAGGGGTGCTTTACCACTGAGCCACATCCCAGCCTTTAAAAAATATTTTATTTCGAGACAGGTCTCGCTGAGTTGATTAGGGCCTTGCCAAGTTGCTGAGGCTGACTTTGAACTTGGGATCCCCCTGCCTTAGCCTCCAGAGCTGCTGGGATCATAGGCATGTGCCACCGCGCCCAACCAGGAGGCCTTGTTTTAATGAGTGCTATAAAATGATGCATTAGTAGAAATCAGAGCAGAAGAGAATAGGATTCAGATCTCTTTGATAAAGTCGGAAGACCTGAGTCTGGTCCCAGCACTTCCCTATGCTATGCTGATCCCAAGATCAAAGTAAGAAAAAACCTCAGTCCACACACCAGCCCTGCCACTCGCTCCTCCCCTGGTAGCCTTGGCAAGCTACCCTTAGTATAAAATAAGGATGGTGATATGGGCCATTTAAAGGGAATAAATATACATAAATCATACAAAAGGGCTTAAAACCCAAGGAGGCTTCCGTGAACATAGCCATCCATTGTTGTTATTTACTATACTCTTCAACCCTTTGAGATCTCAGCTTCCTTACTAATGAGGTAGGGAGACTAGGGCAGGAGGTAAACCCCAGAACATTCATGCAGTGAACATTTGAGAGCCTCCTGGGTGTCAGGTGCTGTATGGGAAAATTAAAAACTAGGTTCTTGCCCTCAAAACTGGCACTGTTGGCCATGTGTATGGGAGAAGGAGGAGGAGAAAGTGTGAGTTCTAACAGCATGTGAAAGCCCCCCTGTTGGAGGTGGAGTGTGGGTCATAAAAGGTGCCACATGAAAGATGGCATATAAGCTTGGAGAACAGGCGGAAATGTTGGGTAAGTGTTGCCCAGAAGGAGAGAGAGAGAGAGAGAGAGAGAGAGAGAGAGAGAGAGAGAGAGAGAGAGAGAGAGAGAGAGAGAGCTAGCTGTTGTCATGAACCCTGATTCCCGTCCTTAATTCCATCAGTGGTTTCTACTTCACTCCCAAGGAGGAAAAAGTATTTTAGGATATCCTGGTCCTTTCTACTACCTGTACATACTCCTTTCTCAGAAGAGGAATGTGATTTGCCTAATCAGTCAGATTTGGAAAAGGACTCTGGGCCTGCACGTTCACCCTTTCTTGCCTTTCTCTGGGCTCATTCTCTCCCACTGCTGCTGTGCTATAGTTAGCAAACCTGGGTGCTACTCTTGAGACTTTCTGAGCTTGGTGGAGGTTGGGAGGCCAATGGCAGGTAGTTACCTGACTGTGGCAGACTACCTGTTGTCTGCGAGAACACCTGTTCCCCACTTCATTCTTAGTACCAGAATGCCAGTCTTGAGGTGGGAATATTATGGATCAGACTAAAACTACTTCTTAGCCTCTCTCAAAGCTAACTGTGACCTGATAAAGGTTCTGGCCAATCACATGATCAAGGGAACTTCCGGGAAGTTTCCTTACAGCTTTTGTTCTGATTCTGGGACTGCAAATGAAATAACTGGAGCACTGGTAACTGTCTTGGACCCAGAGGTAACTTCAAGGATGGAATCCAAGTGCTAAGTATAAAAAGGCAGAAATATTTCACTGCATAGGTCCTTGATAACATTGTAGAGTTATGTTTCAACTCTGAAATGCCTACATTTTTATAATTTAAATCACTGTATTGTTAGAATTTTCAGTTCAGCTTCAACAAATCCAATGGATTGGTAATCAGTTGGGTAACAATTTGTTTTATAAGATCATAATCCTGACATTACTGTTTCTATATCTAGCTTTTCTAGGAAAACAAATAAACAAAAAGAACCAAGGACCAAAGCTTGCTTAGAGATTAGAGAATAGTAAGGAGTTGGGTGTTATGTGGAGTCAAGGACGCTGTGAGGAAGACTAGCTTACAAAGAACTCTGTGTTAAACTGCCGACTTTTGACTTTAGCCTGTAACAATAGAGAACCAGCAAGGGAGGTTTCTGGTTTGTTTTAAGGAGTGTTATTTGGCTTTTCTAAAGACCCCTGATAGAAATATGAGCTGATAAGATGCTGAAAGTATGAATAAGATGCCGAAAATAAGAAGCAAAGTGGAGAAGTACTTAGTCACTCAGGCCTGGGTGAGGTTGTGTGACAGGCAGAGGTGATGAGCTGGGTGATCCAGGAGCATGCCTGGCCCCAAGGACACCATGGGCTGATCTGCCTGCTCCAGACTCCAGGTCACAGTGTAAGAAAAATAAATCCCTGGCTCCTTATAGTGCCATTACTTGGATTTTCTTTTATAAGCAGCTGTACTCAATCCCTACCTGATGCAGGTGAATGGTGACACTATGATTTCAAATAAGGAATATCTGAGGACAGTTAGGTTTGGACAAAGGCAAGATGGTTGCCAGAGTTAGAAAGAAGTGAACAGGTTCAGGAGACTCTAATCTCAGGAGTCAAATTTCCAAGCTAGGGAAGCCCAAGTGTAAGAAAAATTAACCACCAGAGATAGAGTTAAACTGTTCTTATTCAATGGCAGCATCAGCACATGAAACTAAAATACATGTATGACAACAGAAACTACATCTTAGATTAAAACTTGGTAAAAGAAACACATTGAAAAAAGACACCATTAAAAAAAATATGTTCTAAGTCAATATTCTTTTGATTTAGAAT